AAATACATCCAGTATTTCTAAATCCTACATCAAGGGAAAATTGCTTCCATGAACAATCAGTGCAAACAGGTTTCACAGAGGTAGGAAGAAAGTCATGCAACTGAAGAAAAAATACTCAGGAGTCAGTAATGCTGAATATCTTTTAACTGAGGGAAAGAGCGGGAAAATACTTACTAGGATCTGGAGTTTTGTCCTCAGATCTGCCAAATAAAAATTCATATTTGGCCTTGGCAACACTCTGGGAATGTGCTGATGCACTGTTCACCCAAACAAACGTCTCTGCCTGCAAAACCAGAACAAAAGACATCGTTAAAAATACATTATAAAAAAATACATCATAAAGCAAACTATGCAACGAGGGAATGACTAACAATTATAAATTCTTAATAGACTGCTATATAACCACTCAAAATGCATTATAAAAAATATGACATGAAAAATCGGAATACAAAATTATTACTGCATGATTACAGCGGTAAAAACAAGACATGAATATGAACATCTTTAGGAGAGTAAGAAAAACAAAAGGCTTGTCTTGACTGTGGTACAGGTTTATGGTAGATTTTTTAAATTTCCATCAACTAGAAAACAATTTTATTTTTAATTATAGCTTTTCCGTGTGATAATCACAATCCAGTCCATAACAAAAAATATTTCTGTACAGATTCTGTTAAAGAATACCAGCTACAATGTAATCTTTCCTCCCAAAAGATCACATTTTTACTTAAGCAAAAACACCGTTCAGCCAAATGGGTGCAAAGAGAACTGCCGAGCACCCCATTTATCCTGACTGTCCTAAATTTGAGCATCTGGACCAGTGTCCTTTATAATTTATAACAGTCCCTTATTTGAAAGAAAAACATATCTTGATTCTAAATTCCCAAGACCTCCTTCCCAGCTACTCTAGGACACAACCAAAAATCAAGAATGTTGCCCTCCTATAGACTCCTTAAAAACAAGTAACAAGGAAGCAACTTTAAAGCACAGAGATATGTCCTAGAACAGTCAGAAAGTCATTCTTCTGCCTCTTACTGTGGAGTCCGACATAACTAGGACCCAGACATTACCCACACGCTTTCCACCCCTGATTAGGAAAAATCTTCTCTCACACCTAACTAACAACCCTTTTGCAGAGAGGGCCAAGAAGGGTTCAATGAACAACCAAATAATTTGTTTCTTCAAAGAGGAAAATCTGATGATTTCTGTTGCAGTCCTTGGAGTAGAAAAGACTGACAACAGTGAGAAGGCCCAATCACAACCCCATCCCCCGACTGCAGGTAGGTTCCACAGGAGGGCTCCTCCGCCCCCTTGTTCTTCAGTACCATTATCAAAAAGCTAGCTTGCACAATTTTGAGATAGCAGTTTCTTAAAATAGCTCTACATCTGCCTAATGTTCGTAAGGTGCACAGTTTATCTTTCTGAAAAACGTGTATACTCTTACATAGCATTATGCGCTTAATAATCACAGATTAAATACCATTTCCCAACAGAGAGGAAATATTAATTTTTGATGGGTTTGAGGAGCTTCAGGCTGGTAAAAGAAGAACTCAGCCAAGGGGCTCCCAAGGTAGTACCTTGATTTAGGTGAGATGGTGAGAGAAGGCTCTGTGATGAATTAACACACACAGCAACAAGAATGAGAGACTGGGAAAGGAGAGAGCAGTCTCCTACTGGGACAGGGAGGCCACACGCAGAGCCATAAGGGCAGTAGGACGGCTACTCAACACTGAGCCACAGGCAGGGTGCCGCAGAAGAGCAGGTGAATGGGCAAGTTCAGAGATGGACAGGACAACAGTACCACTCAGATAGTAGGCAGGCACCACACACACGGGTGTATAAATCAAGGACAGGGAAGAATTTTAAGCAGTAAAGTGATACATTTACATTTTTGAAGATTACTTATTTGCACTCTCAAAAGATCACTTGGTTGTTACACAGAAAATGAACTGAGGCGAGAGAAAGGAGGTAAGAGTCCAAAGAAAGAGTATGGCTCATAGGTTGATGGCATGGAAACAGGCAAAAGTGGATGAATTAAAAATATATTCTGTAGGGAGAATATACGTAATTTTCTAACCAATTGGATTTAAAGAATGAGGGATAGGGAGAAATCACGGATAACTGTAATGGGTAACATTCACTGACCACTTACCCCATTCAAGACACTGTTCCCACGCAATACACAGAATACATCACTTCATGCTGAGAACAATCCTACCATCTCATGGGTGGAGAATGGAAGCAAAGAGCAGGTAAAGTGTAGAAGGTTACACATCCAATGAACTATGGATTCCCAATTCAAATCATGCAGTCTACATCTAAAACCCATGACACTGGGATGATGCCCAGGAATCTGGCTTGAATGTGTCCCTGAAACTAGAGCCAGGACTTTACCAAACTGTCATAAAGGGCCATGGCACAGAACAAACAGATTAAGAGAATTTACATTAAGTGCAGTTCCCTAACTGCAGCCTATGTCCCAGTAGTGACTCAGATAATCAGTTTAGTGGATGATCGTGAAATATAAATAAGTTTATACAGTCCACATATACACTTAACAGAATAAACCTGAAAATGCCAGAGCAGACAGCACAGAAGATAAACTTCTAAATTGTATGCATGTGTGCTATAATTGAAAGTGTATTTCTCCCATAAATCACCATCAATCTGCTTGAACCACATTGCCTTCGAGTGGCTCTCAGTCTTGAGCATGATTTAGCACCAGCCACTGTACTTCCTAAACAAATACTCTGCGGTCCAGCCCAGAGTGTCAGTTTTGGGTGGTTCTGCATGGGGCCTGAGAATGTACACCTTCTAACAGTGTTCCAGGGCGTGCTGATGTTGCCACATTAGAAACCATGTTTTGTAAAAACACAGCCCTAGTTCAGTGTTTTTCACACTTTATTACACATAACAATCACTGGGAAACTTCTTAAAATATCAACTGAGGTGCAGCCAGAGATGCCACGTTCCTGAAAAGTTCTACTAGAGGAGCTCATCTACAGAACACATTCTGGGTACCAAGTAGCAAGAATTAGAAATGCTAAAGCTGGAGAGTGAAGAAGATCCAAAGCAGACCCGCAGAACAGAGCAGCATTCTTTGATGAGCTGCTCTACATAGGAGTAAAATACACTTATGGGTTCCACTCTTAATGTTAACAACTGTCAGGGAAACTGTGTCCCAACATGCAGGCCCAAGTCAAAGCCTTCATGTTCTCCCACCTTGCTGAACGAAATAAAATTCATTCTGCCTATACTTGCTATACTTAAAGCTGTAAATACCACTGATCTTCTTCTTCCCATGCCAAGGCCTACAAAACCTTATCTACCTCCATAATAACTTTTATAGGTCTTTGAAAATTCATATTTGAAACAGTCAGCTTAATATATGCCCACATAATTCTGCACTACTTTTTCATTCTGTGTTTTTAATTGAATAAAATATACTTTTTGTTTTATTACACTGATTTTAGGGACATAAACTTTATTAAGAAGCATGGACTGGAGGTGGAAGTCTAGCTCAGCAGTGGACTGAACGCTTAGCATGTGAGAGGCTCTAGTTAAATCTCCAGCAGGAAGCAAAGAAGGAAGGAGGGGGAGGGTAGGAAAAGCAAACCAGAAAAGTAACATCAGTGAATGGACTGATCTGGACTTAAGATGCAGGTCAGTTTATCTGTACTTAAATCCTAGCTCTGAAACTACTCATGCAATCTCACATAAACACTTAGTCTTTGGACTGAAATCCCCTGTTGAGAAAAGTATTGCACGGTAAGCATCCTCTTCTGAAATCAGAAATCCAGAACCTTTTCGGTGTTGACATGACATCCCAGGGAGTCCACATCCAATCTAATTTGAGAGTCAAAACACAGGCACACTAAAAGAATTGTATAAAATTAACTTGAGGTTATGTGTACAAGGCGTACATGAAACATAAATGTAGCTAGGCATGGTGGCACACACCTATAATCCCAGCACTTCAGGAGGACTGCCATGAATTCAAGACCAGCCTGGGCTACTTAGTGAGTTAAAGGATAGCCTGGACTACATAGCAAGATCCTGTGCCCCTCAAAAAATGACTTTCGTGTTTAGATTTGAGACCCACCCCTAAATTATCTCTCTGTGTATATGCAAATATTTTAAGATTCAAAAAAATCTAAAACACTTCTGGTTCCAAGTATTTTGGATATGGGATACTCAACCTATATTTCAATTTATATCTACGATCCCTTCTATTGCTGAAACACAGTGATTCTTCATACACTAAGCCAGCTTCATAGATAATTCATTAAGGAGCAATCAGGCAAAGCTTTTCCTTATGATAAAATTACAATACACAATCTCCAACCCATACCTTGTTCACCATAAAATAGATGGAACAAATAAAACTGCAAACTTATCCTTCAGTTGGGTTTTCAACCTTACCAGGAATCTCACTTATATTCCAGCTCCCAAGATGTTACTGATTATAATTAGCTATTTTTATACATAAAAGTAGAAAACTACTACTAGTGAAAAGTGATTCTTTTCATTGCCCAGCTACAAAAAAATCAAGAAGACGAAGCAGAAAGCTACACGCAAATTTTAGAAGTCTCTTTCAGGTGCTTTTGGAAGGGAATGCTGGGGCCAGGAGAGCAAAGGGGAGGGAGAGGCTCTGAGAAGAAGGACTTAAGGCAGGCAGGCCGCGCCCTCCTCCATTTCCTAATTATTTCCTTTTCAACACGCTGTTCAGAGGATCTGAGTCTCCAAATCAGTCAGTTGAGTATTATAAAGCGCTCTGGGCCAGAAGAGATTAAAAGCTAAATTGAAGGCTGTAAAAAATAGTATTTCACCACTCGCTTATAAGTAACAGTTCTCACACTCGCTCTCCACGCTCATCCTGTTTAATCCCATCCACTGCCCTCCCCCAGCTGAAGCAGGCCCATGGAAACCGGGCAGTGCTGGGATCCACTCAAGAGCAAACCTGATAAGAAACTTGGTGCCAACACTACCAAAGGCAGTGGCTCAGTATGACAAGCTGCAGTGTGGCCCCTGGCAGTGCACACATTCAAGTCCCAGCTCCCTAGGCCTCACACATGACTGTATTTTCAGACAAGCTGTTAAGTTAATTAAGTTAAAATAAGTCACCAGAGTAAGCTCTAATCCAATAGGATTGATGTCATCGTCAAAAGAGATTAGGACACATGAAGACAGAAGACAAGGTGGCCATCTGCAAGCCAGGAGGGAGGTCTCAGGAGAAATCAGTACCTCTCACACCTTGACTGCAGGCTCCTGATCTCCAAAACTGTA